TTCAACTCCCACCTATTTTCCCTCCATCTCTGCCCTTTTGGGTGCCTTGCACTCCACCACATATTTCCTGCACTCTGTGTTTTGTATTCTTCCGTGTTCCTTCTTGTAAAAGCTCAGTCTTTTCTTTACAAATACCAAAAAAGAAAAATGAAGGAATCGCTCCATGCATGTGGCAGAGCTACAAGGAAGATGGGGCACAGCTGCAGGCTTTTAAGCCTTGATTAAGTAATACAAGAAGAGCTTCTCTGTCTCGGAATCCCAGCACATATGGCAGTATGTGGGCATCTTTGTGGGAACCAGGATATCTAAGTTGCAGGGGATCTCTTGCATGGAGCCTGGGAACAGAAGCCCTTCAGAATCCTGGTGGAAGCAGAAGGGCCCAGAACCACAAACCAGCCAAGGAATCAAGTACCCCACCCCAATCAAGACTTTAAACATAGGTCCACACCCTTCTCACTACACGGCCAATAGCACTTCCCTTGTCACATGCGCTGAGGATTGATCCAGTAGAATCCACCCCATACATGATGGCTCAGAGCATATGCTAAACTGTCTTGGTTGGCAATACTTGTGGCTTAGGAATCAATCTACCACCACTAGGGCTGCTGGCTCCAAATGCCACACAAGAGGAACTGGGTTGCTTAGATATCCCAGGCCTACTGCATGTGGCAGTAAGGGCATTTTTGTGGGTGTTGGGATACCAGACAGACTCCTCTTATATGCCTCAATCAAGGCTAAAAAGCCTCTACTTGTGCCCCATCTTCCTTGTGGCTCCTAGCACTGCCTTTGCCATACATATACCAGGGGGACTCATTTTTCCAAGTCAGTATTTGCAAAGAAAAGACTCCACATTTACAAGCAGGAACAAGGAAAGATACAAAACACAACAGAGGATGCAGGTCTGATGCAGAAATTTTTGCTTAGTGATCAAAATTCCAGTCCCAACTATGGTTATAACTCGAGGACCAGTTTAAATAGCTGAAGACTGATAAATTGGCCTAAGAATGAATTTATTTTCTCTTGGCTTACCTTTTTGTATATAACTCAAATAACTTGTGAGAGCCATGGCATTCATAGCTGCATGCTAAACAAATCCCTGCTGGTTCTTCACCTGGTGGTGTACATGTACTGCAGGCATACAATGCCTGCCTCTTTACAGCACCCTGGAAAGATAACAGCATAATAATGAAAACAGTTGGGAAAGGTACCATGTTAAGATTTTGCCAACAAACCTGAATCCTAGAAATTAAATAGTTTTGTTCTTACTGGAAGTTTAATAGAATTCTTAAGTAACCATGTCATAAAACATAGGTCACTATACTTACCTTACACCTAACTCAACCAGGAATAAGTGATTATAACTAATTTCCATTTAGACAAGCAGATAAACAACAAGTAATAATACTCTGTCAGACAACCATGGAAATTGGTTATCTGACAGAGATAATCCAGCTCCTACTCTTAGTGCTAAGAAAACCAATATACAATACTTACCACCTGTAAACCAAAGAAAACCAATATACAATACTTGCCACCTGTAAACAATTTACAATTAATATTTAATTTTCCCATTCTCAGCACCAAGCTATTGATGTAAAAACACAACAAATGTTAGCCCTATTATACACTGCTCAAAAAAATAAAGGGAACACTTAAACAACACAGTGTAACTCCAAGTCAATCACACTTCTGTGAAATCAAACTGTCCACTGAGGTAGCAACACTGATTGACAATCAATTTCACATGCTGTTGTGCAAATGGAATAGACAACAGGTGGAAAGCATAGGCAATTAGCAAGACATCCCCAATAAAGGAGTGGTTCTGCAGGTGGTGACCACAGACCACTTCTCAGTTCCTATGCTTTCTGGCTGATGGTTTGGTCACTTTTGAATGCTGGCGGTGCTTCCACTCTAGTGGTAGCATGAGACAGAGTCTACAACCCACACAAGTGGCTCAGGTAGTGCAGCTCATCCAGGATGGCACATCAATGCGAGCTGTGGCAAGAAGGTTTGCTGTGTCTGTCAGCGTAGTGTCCGGAGCATGGAGGCGCTACCAAGAGACAGGCCAGTACATCAGGAGACGTGGAGGAGGGCGTAGGAGGGCAACAACCCAGCATCAGGACCGCTACCTCCGTCTTTGTGCAAGGAGGGACAGGAGCACTGCCAGAGCCCTGCAAAATCACCTCCAGCGGGCCACAAATGTGCATGTGGCTGCTCAAACAGTCAGAAACAGACTCCATGAGGGTGGTATGAGGGCCGACGTCCACAGGCGAAGGTTGTGCTTACAGCCCAACACTGTGCAGGACCTTTGGCATTTGCCAGAGAACACCAAGATTGGCAAAGTTGCCACTGGCGCCCTGTGCTCTTCACAGATGAAAGCAGGTTCACACTGAGCACATGTGACAGACGTGACAGGGTCTGGAGACGCCATGGAGAACATTCTGCTGCCTGCAACATCCTCCAGCATGACCAGTTTGGCAGTGGGTCAGTAATGGTGTGGGGTGGCATTTCTTTAGGGGGCTGCACAGCCCTCCATGTGCTCGCCAGAGGTAGCCTGACTGCCACTAGGTACCGACATGAGATCCTCAGACCCCTTGTGAGACCATATGCTGGTGCAGTTGGCCCTGGGTTCCTCCTAATGCAAGACAATGCTATGTGGCTGGAGTGTGTCAGCAGTTCCTACAAGACGAAGGCACTGATGCTATGGACTGGCCCGCCCGTTCCCCAGATCTGAATCCAATTGAGCACATCTGGGACATCATGTCTCGCTCCATCCACCAATGCCACGTTGCACCACACTGTCCAGGAGTTGGGGGATGCTTTAGTCCAGGTGTGGGAGGAGATCCTTCAGGAGACCATCCGCCACCTCATCAGGAGCATGCCCAGGCGTTGTAGGGAGGTCATACAGGCACGTGGAGGCCACACACACTACTGAGCCTCATTTTGACTTGTTTTAACGACATTACATCAAAGTTGGATCAGCCTGTAGTGTTTTTTTTCCACTTTAATTTTGAGTGTAACTCCAAATCCAGACCTCCACGGATTGCTAAATTTCCATTGATAATTTTTGTGTGATTTTGTTGTCAGCACATTCAACTATGTAATGAATGAAGTATTTAATAAGAATATTTCATTCATTCAGATCTAGGATGTTTTATTTTTGTGTTCCCTTTATTTATTTTTAGCAGTGTATATTGAGTGCTTGCTAGGACAGATTTGACTTTATTATTTGGCTTTTTCTTTTTTAATACTAAAAAGTTTTTGTGTGGTAGAAACCATCTCACAGTTTATACTGGCCTTAATGCATGTGGCAATTTTAAGTTATAGTACCTTTTATTGAAAAAAATATTAAAAAGATCACATTTACTTCTTTTTAAAAATGTCTGAAAACTGCAATTAAGTGTATAAATACAGAAATTTAGCATCTTTCAGTCATTAGAGCTAATAATTGGTTGATTATAATAAAACCAAACCTACAGATCAAAAAGGTGATAAGATCTTCTTGGTTGATGTCAGCTTTAAAGAGCCAATTTTGTGTAGTCTCAAGGCACCAGGTTAGAAATCAGAAGGCTATGAATTCTAATTGTGCCTTAAGCAGCAGCCAGCTGGGTGACCTTGGGCTTGTCATTCCTTCTCAGCTCTAAAAAAAAGAGGCAATGGTAAACCACTTCCTAAATTCTGGAAAAAAAACAAAAAACCAAAACCCTGAAGAGACTAGTAGTACAGCAGTTGACAAGAGTCAATAATGACTCAAAGGCATGCTTGCACACACACATACGATATAGTGATATAGTCCACCACTAATCCGCCAGTTTAGTGTTGTGATTAAGGGAACAGACTACAAACCGAGTTCCAGCCCTGCCTTAGACACAATGCCACCTGGGTGACCTTGAGCCAGTCACTCTCTCTCAGCCCTAGGAAGATGCAATGGCAAAACCACTTTTGAAAAACCATTCTCCCCATTAATTTCCCCATTCTCAGTACCAAGCTACGGCAATACAGGTAGTCCTTGAGTTACAACCACAATTGAGCCCAAAATTTATGTTGCCAAGTGAAACATTTGTTAAGTGAGCTTGTCCCATTTTACAACTTTTTTTTGCCACACTTGTTAAGTGAATTACTGCAGTTATTAAAATTAGTAACAGGTTGCTAAGTGAATCTGGTTTCCCCATTGACTTTGCTTGTCGGAAGGTCACCAAAGATGATCACAGGACCCTAGGGCACTGCAACCGTCATAAATGTGAATCAGCTGTCAAGCATCTGAATGTAAATCAAGTAAGGGGTGTGTGTGCAACGGTCATAAGTGTGAAAAACAGTCGTAAATCACAGTGCTGAACGGTCACTAAGCGAACTGTTGCAAGTGGAGGGCTACCTGTATATGCAGGGACTTGTCCAGGCAATCTTCCGAGAATCTGAGGGGGCTGAATGGCGTGGGGGGAAATAAGTCCGACATAACTGAAGGTAAAGAGGTTGAGGAAGCTTTCTGAAGCGCCTTGGAGAAGCAGCCCTTCCATCCCGCCCTCGCCTCTCACCTGAGAGTAACTGCAGCGCTCGTGGTCGCTCCCGCCCAGCACGGCGCGCGCTTCGTTCTCCAACTCCTCGCTTTCGGCCAGCACCTCGGCTAGCGACACGACGGGCTCCTCGGCGTTCCTGTCCCCCTCTTCGCCGCCCGTGGAAGTGTTGCTGTCGTTGCCGCCCTCCTCTTCTGGAGCGCCAGAAGCAGCCGCCGACCTTTCCATCTCCCTGACGTCGCTGCTTCCTTCGCTCCGTCGCAAAAAGCCCGACGAGGAGGAGGAGGAAAAGGCGGGAAAACGCGAACCTGCCGCCAGGCGACGCTTCCGCGCATACCGGAAGCGGAAAAACAAGTCGCGGCGGAGAACAAACGGGCCGCCTGCACGTGAACGGCGGCAGCCAATCGCAGAGGCGGACGGAGGCGGAGACAATGCGCGGTCGGATGCGCTCCTCTGCGTGCCGTATCAACGACAAAAGCGAGCGGGATTGGGTGGCGCATGCGCGTTAAATTAGGGGAGGAGAACTTGGAGGAGCCCCTCGTTTCGTCAGAGGCGGATACGCTAAAACTGATTGGCTCCTCGTTGGCGCCGGGAACCGAGCGATGGAATTGCAGGCCGAGTTGACCGGCCGCGATGGCCTGAAACGAGCGTGGCGTGTTCAGTGTGAGCCTCCGGGAGAACTGCGGGGCCTGTTGGCGGGTTTGTCTCGGCTGCGGGAGGAAGTCGCCGCTCGGCTTGACCCTCTGGTGCAACGGGAGAGCGTCGCTGCCTCCGGAGACCGAGATGAGCGTGGAGGTGAGGGGGCTGGTTTCTGGAACCGGCTTTTTGCCCTTGATATTATTATGGTGGCCGTTCCTACTGTGTGCGGCTCCTTTGTGAGGACAGATTTGATTGCTCTGTTTCAGCTCGCAAACGAAGGAGGGATCAAATTGGGCTTGGATTGTGCTTGGAGAATACTGGTCCAAACGTACCCAAACTGACCACCGTGATATCTGAAATGGTATAGGTTCTCCTGCAAGGGTCTGGACTAGAAGACCTCCAAGGTCCCTTCCAGCTCTATTCTATTATTTTCTATTCTGTCATTATTAGGGAAGGTTGCGTTTGGCATCATGGATAGAATTAAGGTGTGGTAGAGGTCTCCAACCTTGGCAACTTTAAGACTTGTGGACTTCAACTCCCAGAATTCTCCAGCCAGC